TCCTATAACAAAGTCTGGCCATAAAATAACAAACCTTTCATTAGCTCGTTATATCTGTCAACTTCAATAAGTTAACTAGAATAAGTAAATTAGTACAAGTTAAAATGTAATAACAAATTAAGTGAAAATCAATCGATGAGATTAAATATAAATGAGTGAAAAATGCTATACCTAGTTAAAGTTGTTCTTTGTATCTAATAATATTTCTTTTAAATTTATATAATTTCTATTTTTTCAAGCAAACTTTTGCGCAGATTATTTGTTGGTCTTAAAAAAAGATACAGTATATCATATATACCCTTTTTTCTCACTCTTGTTTTAACAAAATTACTCACGCGTAAGATTTTGGCTAGATTTTTATAGGGTTTCTAGTAATGATTAAAAATGAGAAATTTAATTTTTACCTTTGTGGATAATTTTTCTTTATCAGGATTTATTACTATTTATCTAGCCATGTTTTACTTCGAGAGTTTCGTCGAGAGTGTTATAGAACAATAGGTGTAAGAAGAAAATTAGAAATTTACTTTTTTTCGATTTTAGTATACAATCCAATGCAGCACCTCCTTATTTCGCGTTTACTTCTGTAAAAGAATTTTTGATTCCGTTTAATCAATTCGAAGATTTTCATACAACTGCAATATCAATAATTTGATCCTTCCAGCAACCCCCTTAAGTAGATTAATTAGAAAATCAAGCGAATCGATTGAACCGAACGCCATTCACCTCGAGGAAGTCGAAAATGTCGGTGAGATAGCAGCCGGCAGGTGCCAAGTCTACCCTGTTTTATATTTTCATTGCTCTCGTTTGCTCATCTCTCTCTCTCTCTCTCTATTCAATCATCGCTCAATAGCTTCATTTCTCTCATGCTCGTACACGCTCGAAGGAAATGTCAAGTCGGCAGAGCCGTTTCCATAGCTGCTATTTCTGCCAGGTGGCCGATGCCCGAGCCTAACCAACCGTCCGTCCGCCATTTTCCAACTCGACGTTTTTGGTTCAAGATTAATTAAATGCGTCTGGAAATAGTTACGGTCGTCGGAGTCGCGAACGGACCGCGGAAGCGAAGGGTGCGGGTGAGAGAGTCCCAGTCATAGACTTCACGCACGGTTGGGTATCCGCAGCGCGCGATGTTAATCTTCGCACGCACCTCTCCTGCCAGGAGCAACGAGAGCAAATTAATAGTATACTTAGGTCGCGATCGAGACTTTGCGAGAAATTTCTTAGCAAATTTTTATTCTATACTAACGTTATTATTACGTTGCTTCATTATCGTTTGCTTTTCTTCTCCGTCTGCAAATTAGAATTTAATTATAGAAGAACATAATATTAAACTGTTGATAATTTATAGTAAAAGTATCATCGATATGAAAGGTAAAAGAAGATAAAACTTCAAAAATTTTAAATACAACGAATAAGCAAAGTCTATATATGTATATCGATTTGGTGTTGATTCAATATAATAATATGAATGTTTACTCCATTAGTGTTTCGATGTTTCAAAGCCGCGACAGCGACTTGAGGGTAGGCAAATGCTGCAGAATGAAAGTGACCAGGCTTCTAGACGAACCGAGGATGGACCAAGACTTTGGGACGCTGGGTCATGTTCAAACTGAATGGACCTGGAGGCTCATTCATAATCGATACACTTGCGTGATTTCAACCTGGCCGACGGTGCCAACGAAAATTCATTGAGCTACGAGATATTCCAGAAACCTTCACCTCCAAGTAAATATAATTCATTACTACTTTTCAGTATTAAATTTTTACATATATCTCAATGTTATAGGCCTCTCTTATTGTATTTTCAGCAAGGAAAATAGAATCTTTGTATATTCTTCTTTACACGCATGCACACACATATATTATGTATAAATTTTTATTTATGAAAATTGCGCCTTGCGCGCATTTATGTAATACTCAAAGTCCATCAAACGCTAACGCTAAATATTGATATTTGCAAATACAGGACCGGCGTCTTAATGTCGCACGTGTTTCGAAGGGAGAACGGTTAGGGCCCACAAACCAGCTAAAGATAGCAACCGAAGGGGTCACTTCACGATTCCTTTTCTCTCTCTCTCTCTCTCTTTCCCTTTCTTAACCTTCCCCGTTTTCGCGCTCGCCCTCTCTTTCTTTCAAGATCGCAATTTATAGAAGCACTCGGCACCTGTCACCTTTCCGCAACTCACCGAGGACACGCGCATTCTGCCTGCATCTCGGCACCAATCGCAGGAATAACCGACGGAATAGCCTCGTGCCTGACGGAGAAGAAACAGCGACAAAGGAGCAGAAAGGAGAGAATACTTTGAAACAACTCGCCGCATCGCAGTTTCAAAACAACGCACGTTTGAAGCGACGGAATGTCTTCCAGAGAAACTGGAGGAAGAAGCTTCATCTTCCATCAACAGTGTTATTTTGAAGAGGAATTGCCGAGAATTTACTACAAGACGAAGACTCGAGAGTTGAAGACACAAAAATGGAAACATAAAAATTTCTCGAAGACATAAGAATTTTTCTTGGATTATAATGTCAGAAGTGAGAAAAGTAAGTACATTAAAAAAAATGTTTGCAAGCTACATTAAAATGTAGACATTTTTTAATAAAACAAAATTTGCAGTTGCGCGATAGAATAGATTTATAAAATAATAAAAAGTAATAGAAAAAGGTTTAACAGCAAATGAATAAATCACAAATTCAGAAATTTTTAGAAACTACAATTTAAGTATCAAAAACAAGGAACAAGATTTGTAAGTATGTAACAATTTACATATTTAAACATTTCTATTTAAATGAGTTAGTATATTCTATTAAATACAAATATTGTTTTATTAGAAAACATTTCTGTTCAAATATATTTTGAAAGAATTTTTATTACGTCAGGAATCTCAAGCGGGATTTTAAAGAACTCTGAAGTTGAAAAGTTAGATACATTTATAATCTTCCGCAGGCATAGATATCGACGCATTCATCGTGTCTCGTTACGCTGTACGACACGTGCGACACCCAGTTCCTGATTACACGACAACACTCGTTAGTACACGGAACAGCGAGCGCGACGTTAACAGGAAGCGCGCATCCGCGTGACCCGCGACGGGCGCCGTACCCTTTAAGTATTAACAGCGGCACTCGTTCTACGTGATCCTCGTGCTTACAACGCGATTCCGCGCTGTCAATCGCGCGATCTTCCGTTCCATAATCATCACGTTCAGCGTTAATGCGTCGACGACGATCGAAGACGGGCGTAGATCCGCACGTCGTAGGAAGCGAGACCGCCCGCTGAGCGATTCGGCGCCGAGCCTGTCGAGGGGCTCCGGCTATAAAATAGATATATAGTATCTCGGAATTACCAAATTTACAAGTGGACCGTAAATCAATTTGAAAATGATCCTCGACATTAAATTAACAAGATGGGAAGTTTGATTTCGACCATTTGAGTCATAAAAAAGATGACGTATCTTCCTATCTGTTGAGCGCCACGCTTTAACGAAATTTATCGTTTCCTTTGTGCGTGCCGCGACGCACCGTAAAGGGAACGGGGACGCAGCCTTGGGTGCAGAGTGTCGATCGGCGTCGATTGCAGTTGGAAACCGTTCTGAATTATTTGCGAGCCTGGCGACGCGTCTGGGACAAATATGCCACCCTCGCGCCGTTTACGCGTTGAAAGCAAACACAGACAGCAAAAAGGCAATTTCGCTCGTAAAGGGCGATGCGTCTTTACCGCGCGGATTCGTCATCGTCGCGTCGAAGTGTGAACGTTGCTATAGGTACTAACCACGCGATACTTACGTAAGCCTTGATGAAACGTTTACTTTGAAGATCAGATGACATACAATTCGGAATAACTGATTTCGAAATTATTCCAACATTTTTCAATTTTTTTTAATTTGCGGATGATAAAATTTATCAGGGAGTATACATACATATGTGGCGTCGAGTGGCTCACCGCTCTGTGCGATTGACTCGCGATTTGTAGACCCGAGTTCAATCCCACGTGCGCCCAAACGCGATGATTTTTCGCGTTTAATGAGCCAAAAAATGGCTCCACCTGGTGATCAAAAGATCTATGATCATCAGCGCCGTTCGGATTCGGCGTTAAACTGTAGGTCCTATACATCAGTATACATATCAGTAGATATTTGTCTCTAATATCTGACTGAGGTAGGATTCTGTGGACCAATCACCCACAAATCCGAAAAACAATCTGATTCGAGAAACGAATATAGGCCTCGGACAAAAGAGGTCTATAGACGTCCTATGCTCCACATAAGGAGATAAAAGGAGTCGTTATCGTTATACATACATATAGGTACATTATTAGGTGTACAACGCTCAGCACATATACATACATATCATATACATATAACTTCAACATATTCCGCAGAAACAAAGAATAAAATTTTAAAGTTCTTATTTTTTTTTATTTTATTAAAAGTGATTTTACTCCTGCAATGATATTGCTTTAAAATAAGAGTAGACAATATATTATAATTTAGGTTATTTCCATTTTTCTTTCATGTTTTATTAGCTTTTTTATTTATTATATTTAAAAATTTTTTCTATTTTTTATCTTTTCTAAAATTTCTACGACACACTTATTTATAATTAGAGATTAGAGCAGCACACCTGCGTACCGCGGCACATCGATTGGAAAACTCTATTATCCGACTTTTCAACCTCGCTGTCGAGTGCTCTCTCTCTCTCTCTCTTTTCTGTTACACACACACACACACACACACACTTAAAATCATGGATAATTCGTATCTATTTATTTGTACTATATATTGATCATATGGTAATATTATAATACAATAATATTATAATATAACTTATCATGTAATTCTTCTTTGTATTCTACTTGTTACTTAAATAAAATTACATTAAGTTCTAGGTGCATGAACGACATTATTGCTGATGTCTCACCTTTAAAGGTATTAGATATATTTAACATTCTATGTTACGCTTATGTTCATATACAAAAAAATTCACTTTTTACGTTTCCATTTTAGGGAATAAGTTACATGATTGACCCTGAGGATCTAGCACTAACTGGTATCAAGGTAAGTCTGGGATACTCTGAATAATAACTTCTATTATCCGACTTCTACTTGATTATTTTTGATTTACTGTCTATATTAAGATTGGGTAATCAAAATTTTACATTTATTTCTATTATCGTATCTGTATTATATATAGTAAATTTGGTTGGTACACTAGTGCATATTAAATCCATTAGACACTGATTTAATTCGTGTAAAATTAAAATGCAAATATTTCATGTTTCGAATGATAAAATGCAGATTCTACTTAACAGTATAATAAAATGTATCAATGATTTCATGGGGTTTTATCTATTGTTCTATTTATACAAACATTTTTATATTAATTTGTGTGACGGCTTTAATGTACACCAGTGTGTACTAAGTGGATCCAATCGAATTCGCTAATAGATATTATAAATACTTCCTAATGCGCGTGGTTAAAGCCTGTCGCACAGTTTTATTATGGTAATTATTTTACACAGTTGTAGTAATTATTCATTAAGGATAAAAATAAAGCATTTTGCAAAAGAACCTTGCAGGCTTTAACGTCACGCGTGCATGTAACGAAAATTAAAAATGGCCGACTGGTAAAACTCGTTTGCGAAGCACTGAGGTATTTTCGTTCGCGGATTGATGGACATTAATTGAAAATAGTGCGTTCTTTCTAACGTCCTGATGACGAGTCGCTCTTCGTCTCGTAACCCCGATTCTTTGCGACTTTGTCGCGTAACGTTGGCGATACATGACGAGGCAGCGACACAATCCTATTTTTGCAAGTGCACCAGACAGTTGGACGTCTCCTCCGGCTGTTCTATTTGCGTATCATAGCGAGTCGCGAGCGACGAGACGTAAAATACGCACGGCTGCGCGAGCATTATTAGCGCTATGCCTGTTGTCCACGTTCGTGAAGTTTAATATAAAGGGATAGTTTTCGTTTTGCAGCTGTCACCGTCTTGCAGATTTTACTCGTTTGTGCATCGAGATTCACGTGCTTTTTCTAGACGCGAGAAATCGTATTCTGTGAACGATTATTTAAACCTCTGCAGACTTATCCAGATCTTTTAAAACTTTCTTGTAATTGATTAAGAACATGTTAATATTTTATTATAATTGCTGCAAACGTTGATCTTCACATCAGAAATGATTTTGTAAAAAAAATGGGAAGGATATTATCGTAAATTTAATTAAACTTAATCGGTGATATTTATTTGAGTGTGTGTATTTGTCACACATACATATATATATATACTTATATAAAAGTTCTTATAAATTACGTTATCCTCTTTAATTGATATCAGCCAGTCCAGAATATCATGAAAAGACCGTATCTGTCTATCTACTAAACTATGGCCAGAGGGATCAGGATCTTTCTAATGACGAGCAGATCCTCGTGTCGTTACATCAATATCTTTTAACGAGATGTGCGACGTTAATAAAAGTTAATTTTATTATCTTCCTGATCAAGAAGATTCGTTCCCGTATTATACGATACAACTTTTTGCTCAACGGCTGCGAAATCTGCATGTCGTGATACCGGAGAAACATGCCCCGTGGGAGTTGAAGCATCGCTTTTTAGCATTAAAGCTAATGACCGTAATAAAGGGTTCCCCCGGTAAGCACGGACGGTTTGTCGTAACATAAAAATGTTGTAATATGAAAATTCCATCCCACGCGTAATCGCCCAGCAACTTCTCGGCCTTCTTTCCGGACTACTGTATTCCTTGCGGTAATCGTAGGATTTAGTTGTAAGATCTGATAGAAGGAGAAAAATTGCATTGCCGAGTTCTGTTCTGTCCTCACCGACAAGATTCTCTCTTTCTCTCTCTCTCTCTCTCTCTCTCTCTCTCTTCCCTTTTCCCACTCTTTTCACGACGGTAATAGAGATAACGCTCATTTGTTACTATTCCTGCGGCTTGCCACCAGTGTTACGACCAGTCTACTAGTCATGTTGTCATACGAAAGAAGCCATTGTCGCGAATTTTGCTCAGATGCTATCCTGGATTTAACGGTCGTTTACGTCAAAGAGCGCACCGTTGCGTCTTACCGCTCATATTTCTTGTCCGAGCGACACTCGAGGTTTACTCTTGCCTCTCTTGAATTTCATATTCCGAAAAATATATCTAATATTATAAAACCAATCTTTGTTTTGCATTAAATTTAACACAAATGTTTGACTGTTTATCTAATAAATAAACGTTTGACTATATATCTTGACTATTCTTTAAACTTCACCGTTTTCATCTTTTAAACATGAAGGCAGAAGAAAATATCGACATTGTAAAATATTATAATATCGTCATTTTTTAAAAATTCCATTATTGTGCCGGAAATCAATTACCACTATCAAAATTGTTACCATTTTGTAAAATACCATACACTGCATTCTCTTTTTCAGTCAAAAAAATTGAAGATTCACTAACAAAATCGGATCCTTCAACCAAAAACCAGAGTGGTAGCAATCGTGAACAAGAGTCCCTGAAACTTTCCAAGGGAAACGATAAGAGCTTGGAGTTGGTATCGTTACTTAATTTATTAAAAAATTTAAGACTTTCCATAAAATTTTCTCTTAAACGGTTCGCGGTCTTTATTTATTTAAATCACTGTGTTTTCAGCCCGGATTTTTAAAAAATATATACGAAACTGTATGGAAATGTCCTAGCATACATTACGTATAATATAAATTTTTTTTGTAGGCGATACCTTTAAAGAATCTAGGCTCCTGCAGCTTTTACTATAAACGTACTCGCATGTAAAAAACGAAAAAAAAAAAATAAAACATTTATTTTACGTAATCTTATGCAATCTATAACGTAGGTCGCTGCGGATATAGACACGATTTCTGTTCGTCCTTATAATAAAACAAGCAACTGGATTCTGGCATTTTTATACATTTACATACAATCTCAAGATTTGCTCAAAAAATGAATATTACCTAATTTATTTAGGAGGCGGTATAAACCAAATTCCTCTTAGTAGCTATTCATATATTCTCAAAAATCACAATAAAAGAAGTCAGCAATGCTTTAAAGAATCCCGGTGGTGGGTTAATTTAGATTTCACGCCAACTGGTTTTATAAAGCAATTCCATCTTCACTGCGGCGCGCTCCTTAATGTATCAGAGTAATTTTAACACGCGGTTTACTTCGGCTCAGGTATCTATAGCTCGCATCGCACTCGCCATGCGTGTTTCAAGTCGAGGGCGTTCGCGCATTAAGTATAGTGCGCACGTTATAGCCTGGCAAGAGCGAGACGCGCGGCTAATCTGCCATTTCTTTCCAGCGTCAGTCACGGCAAGGGGTTGCACTACCGGTCTAAATTCGCGTCCGCGTAAATCATCGTACTCACGCACGTGCGTGCCCGCGGCCACGCGCTGTGGCTACACCCCCCTATACCTCGCGTCTTCGTTTTTATTCCTCCTGGCTCGGCTCGCGCGAGTTTCTCCGCGCCTGCTTGCTTGTCTGAAGATCGCCGTATCGCGTCGTACGTATCTCTTCACCCGTGGTTAATCCCTTCGCTCCGCTTCGCTTCGCATCGCAGGCAAACGCGTTACACGCTCGAGGCCGCAGCGAACGTGGGGATCGTCCGTCACTAGGTTCACGAAGCGAGAATGTACGTTGCGTTGAGAGTTCCTAGTTACAATTGCAAAGTACTCTTATTCTTGTGTCTACTATGTTAGAAATGACATCTTAGACGGAGAAAGAATTGATCAATCGCATCGAATTATTCAAATGTAATTTTCCATACATGGTCTTACAATCGGTCCAGTATTGAGCCAAGTACTGCAATCGTCATCCACTTAACCAGTATTTGATGATAACTTGGACTCAGTACTGGCTGACGGTATTGCCTCAGTCATTTGCCAGTGATGGCTCATACTGGCTAATAGAACTTTGACTGTCGTTTGTCAGCTAGTCATTTGCCAATAATGGTACAGTGCTGATTGACAGAACATTTGCTGCCACTTGACAGTCGTAACGTTGGCTAAGCGTTGAGTTTTTTTTTTGTAGCTGCTGGCAATCCTCGTTAAGGGGATATCAGATCAACGACCGAATGTATTACTTGGTGAATGTTAATAATATAAACTTTTTAATTCCAGACTCAGTTTTTTTACATTATCCTTTTATCTCATTCAAACGTATCTATCCTTACTTGACATTGTAGCGTCACACTCTCGCAATATTGAAGATCTATTGAAGTCACAATGTTGTTCAGTGTCTGCAATTACAGCTCTGTTTATCATTCTGAATTTTTGCTAAACGTAAAACACGCGAATTATGTTCAATGTAATCCTAAATCTTTTTCTTAAGTTTTCAATTTTAGTTCTATAAATCAAGCATTCGTTCAAGTAATTCGAGGTCCGCTGGATACTTATGTCACTTAGGCCCGATTTTTTATTATCTGGTTAACTTGTGGTTAAGCTTAACCTGATGTTTTATCCAATGGGCTTCATCTATGGTGATGTCATGAATAAAGCTCATTGGATGAAACATCAGGTTAAGCTTAACCACAAGTTAACCAGATAATGAAAAATCGGGCCTTAGAAACTTTTATTTCAAGCAAACTTTTACCTCAGGTGACAGCTATATATACCAGCCAAAAGTAAAAGTGATTTTTTTCTCATTTTTATACGACTTTTTTGTGAAATCAATGCACCCGACTACCTAGTTGTGCGTATTAACTCTCTAAAAAAATTTTGCAATCCGTAAATTCAGTTTGTAAACTCTAATTACATACCTATATAATTTGTGATAATTGTTGAATCTTTTAATTCTGTGAAATTTAGGATAACAGTAAATAATCGCCAATATGTAATCCTGTCCTGTCTAGAAACAATGAATCGAATGTAAGTACGAGGGACCGTCCATGAATAAAATAAACTGTGTAATATGTAATTTAATTTGTTGTTAAATAAACTTAGAGACCAGTCATTAGTTTGTATAACCGTTTTATCCTGATACAACTAGAACTTACAATTCTATCACGTCCGAGATTTTCATCGTGATTACAAAGGCTTAACGATTGCTTCTCTCGTCGCTTCGCAATCGAATCTTTTCTCCAAGATTTTTTTATCAAAACTTTTTAAAATTTAACATTCAAGGCCTTCACTTTCTATTTTCTTAATTGAGCGTTTGATTAATGATTGAGTAGTGATATTAATGGTTGTCAGTAGTGGTGACGACAATAACAGCTACGATAATGACAATAATAACGCGTAATGAGCGCGTGGCTTTTTACCGGCTTTACTGACTCTAACCGTACGGATGCATGTTGCGTAGTAGCGATATTATCATGGAGAAACGGCATCTCGTCGCGGGTACGCGTCGCTCACGCGTTCCGACGAGAAAAACCGTGCATGGAGAACGATTAAAAGTCCAGGTCGAGGAGCTCTCGTGCGCTTAAGCGCAGCCGGTCGTGGCACGTGAGCGGTGCTCCGCACGCACGCACGTGCGTGAGCGCGATGATTTACACGGTACACGGATTTAGAACGTAACCCGCCGGTCGTTCCATTGGGTGTGCGTGCGTGGATACGTACACCACGAACATGTTCGTACACATGACATTTTAAGCGGGCGTTAAAAATAACATTAGCTTACGAGGTAAAAAAGCTCATTATGTAATGTATGCTACATTAAGTAACATATTAACGAATTTTCTTTAGTTTGAAATGCAGATCTTGAAACTAAATATTCTTGCTCTTTCGATAGAAATTATGAGTCTCGTATATGTATATGATATTCTTTGGATATTCTTAATTTCAAATTAAGATTTACGCGTTAATTTTAAACCCAACAAATCGAGTATTTTTACACTGGAAAGAAAAATAACTTCGGATTATTATATATCGAGCTTTGAAGATACGATTTCTTTCGAATAAAAAAAGTAGGTATTGTTCCCTTTGATGTAGATCTGAATCAAATTCAAACGGGATGTTCACGTATTTACGGTAGAGAAAGCGTATCCTATTTTTTCTTTCTGAACGCGTCATTTCGACGCACTGCAGTTCTTTATAACGAGCGTACTTTTTCTTCGAGCGCGAACCCCTTCGTCGCTACTCGGAAAAAGGAAGCGCCGTTAATGTCGCACGACCCGGCTGCTAGACAGTACGACCGTGGAGGACCTTGCCCGTCGTCTGCCCTTCATGTGTTTGAATTTGGAAGAATTTGATTCCAGGAAAGAGGCTGCAAAGGGTTTCGCCAGCAATCCATTTTCCACGTGCTGATTATTTCGTGTCACCCTTGTCTAGCACGAGAGATATCTCTCGGTCCCTTGAAGCATCTTGACTAGGTACAGAATTATTTTTAGGATAATTTTTCACCCGTGTAAAGCTGGCCCAATATTAAAAAATCTATTTTTTTTCTTCATGCATTCGTTTGCTCGTCGTTTGCTCACGAATGCTCAGTTGGAATTTTCGTTTGCTCATTCTTAGTTCAAAAGATACAAGGAAATTAAGTTTCGTTATCGAATTAAAAAATCGATTTTTTTCTTCATGCATTCGTTTACTCATCGTTTACTCACAAATCTTTTGAACTAAGGGTGAGCAAACGAAAATTCCATCGAAAGATATCGATGACTTTGTTTAATAACTGTTTTTAGATTTTTGATTGGGTTTTTAATTTCTGAGTAATTTGAATCTAAAGTTTGTCGAGGTCAAAACTCCTGATAAAGCTAGCGGTAGCATCGCGAATTTGGCAGCGACATAAAGATATATACATGATGACGTTCATGCGTCAAGTGATCATGTTAAGCGGTTATATTTTTATTTTATACACTTGGCGTCGCGACGCTACCGCGTCGCTTTATATAGACAAAAAGAATATTCAATAACAAGGACATTTTTGTTAAATATAATTTTTGTTTGTCGATGCTATTATTTGATTAGTCAATAATTTTTTGCCAAATTGAAAAATAACTGTTTCTATTTATTGGGAAACTTTTTGAAACATGTCACTTTTAAAATGAGAAAATCGAGTAAATTTTAAAATAACTTTTTATAGATAAAAATATTTAGGTAGAAAAAGACTATTAATATATACGATGTATTCTATACACTTTGAGTACATTATACCGTAGTGACATTTGAGCGCGTAAGGTCGTCGTTCCCCGCGCGAGCTATTCTCTTCCACGTATCATCGTGTTCGTTTTGCCTGTGGCGAACAGAACATAATGAGGGAAGCGAGAATAGTCCTTAGAAAATGAAGCAAGGAGAGTCGCTTCAGGAAAAGATGCCTCTCGAATGCCGGGAGAGATGACTGACGAACGTCCCTAATGAGAGAGCGCGCGTGCGATCCTCCTCCTATTTTCCTCCTTCCTGAACGCGAACCTTTGAAAATTCGGTTAACGACTCGAGTGAACAACAAGTCCCCATCTCTCGCTGTTTCGCTTCTAAATTCCTTTAGTCACGAAACCTCCAGTGTTCCGTTTTTTTTTCTCTACAAAGATGTGCGAGAATTAGCCGTGCAAAACGCGAAGCAATCTTCTCTTCGAGCTACTCGAAGCGCAAAGTGGGAGGTATTTTCGTCGCGCGCGTATATATTTTCCTAAGAAAAATTGCCGAATATTCGGCGTCGCGGGTTTTTAGGATGCCGTTAAAGCACGAGCGAGCTCTCTCCAGGCAATAAGTGGTGTCATTTAGAAAACACGGGGACAAAAAGGAAGATTCGCTTTAATGTGTCCCCCGCGGGATGAAAAAGATCCGTCGCGGCGAATCCCTTTTTAGACCGCCTCGGCGATTCCTCAAAGAACGAGGAGACGTTACCGTTTGGTGTACATCGTTCTCCGAATAATATTCTCTTTTCCCCTTTCGCGTCTTGATCCATGAATGTTTGATCTCGCTGGAAATAGGAAACCAGCGAGAACGCTCGGTTTCTCTGTTTGACGTTTGGTCGGATAGGATCGCCTGCTTGTGGTCGGAATGCACTGTTATGAATTCAGTTACGCACCGCGTGTGCAGTGCACTATAAAGCGAAACGGAATACAACTTTTTTTACATGAAAAAGTAGAATAAATTTTAAAATGCGCATTCGAACCTAAGTTATAAATCGTATACGGGCATTTAGCGATGAGCGATGTACTAGATGAGAATTTATCGGTACAAGAAAACAAACCGCTCTGTGCGTGGAAAATCAGGTAATAAGCTTGTGATAAGGAAAACACAAACTGTACGGATTGGAATTGCATTAAATGCAGCGGCAAATGGTTATACTTTACAGATAATGTATCATTCAAGACCGCGTACTCGTACGTGTAGTACGCACAAATTAAAATACATGCAATTCATCAAAGCCACGTGTTAAAAATGTATAATAGATGTAATTGATAAAGATGATGAAAACGTTCATGTTTGAATGTAAGTAATAATTCAATTTTAAATATTTTTATTATTTTCCTTCCATTGACAGCGCAATGTCCGAAATCGGAATGTAAATCAATAAAATGACTTTCAGACATCACGTTTTCTGTGTAAGATACTAAGAAATCAAAAAATAATAATGCACAATATATTATTAATGATAATCGTTTTACTTGAAAGTAAAAAAAAATCAAATGATTACACACTGTGGTTTAAAAAATCATTCTTTTATTTAATAAAATAATTCAAAAACCTTCATTCATATTTTAGTTGCGATTCGATAATTTTTTCTTAAATCACTTTTTTGAGTTCTGATGTTTTTGACAACTTTTTATGAAGTTAATTTTGATGATTGATAGGATATAATATATGCTTATTTAATGACTAACTCCCCCCCGAAAGGGTTCCCACCTTGTAGTAGTCGCGGGGCGGGGGCCCGTGGGTCGCCGGGCCCCTGGGGTGCCCGTGGTCCACACTCCCCGCGGTAATATGACACGAGACCCACATTCGACCTGCGAAGGCAGGTACGGGGCCTCGAGGTAGAAAAACCGACTGGGGGAATATTTGACCACATCCAGGTACGCCTGGTGCTCTCGGGGGCTGCGGGCTCCCGTGCCGGGGCGGGTGG